GGAAATAGGCTAGAGAAACATAATCTACCTTTCCAAAGCACTATAGATTAAACAATGCCATTAGGGCAGAGTTTCTGCATTATCAACATTTGGGCTGGATAATTCTTTGTTGTGAAGGGCTGTCCTATGCATCATACCATCAGGATGCTGAGTACCATCCCTGTCCTTTATCCACTAAATGCCAGTAGCATGCTTCATTCTACCTTCTCATATTTGTGACAACCAAAAATGTCTTCGGACATTGCCAAATGTCTCCTGAAGGGTAAAATCATGTTTGGTGTAAACTACTGCCTTGGATCTTGTGAAAAGGAAATATTTCACTAATGTGAAATAAGTGTGTGGCACATGCTGTTTACACCAGAAGGAACCCTACCATCCACAGAGGGCCGCACGGAGGGCTCATAGGCCAGGCACTCATCGATGATCTTCTGCAGCTCTTCAAGGCAATCTTCACCCAGTGGCTCCAGCTGCCGCTTCCCAACCACCAACTGGCGGATCATCTTAGAATCACAGCCTAGCATGGAAATGACAGGATGATTGCCTTAAAAAATTGCTCTGGATCTTGCACATCTCTCTGGATGCTGACGGCTGGCATCAAAAGCAGGGACTTTGAGTATAGAAACTACAAGAGCTTCTAATGATTCCACTGACCAGCCCAGCAGTTCCCATATTGGAGAACTAAATGCCTAGGACAGCACTGATGGGGAATTTCTAGTTTACTGAAAGGGGACCCAAACCCAGCACCAGCAGAGCCAGCCTTCACATTCTTCACCTTCAAACGGGATCTTGCCAGTGGCGATCTCCCAGAGGACGATTCCAAAGCTAAAAGAAAACCAAGAAACTGAGTTTCACTCCATGAATTAATATCAAACGTGTTTTGGGACAGGATTTGTCTTAAGAGTTTTACAGAGCTTTGCCCTGAAAGAATATGTGAACGTGCTGGTTTGCATTTTGAATGCTGTTACACTCGGAAGGGCATCTCTGAAAGGCAGTAGCGGCTGTATCCCACGAGG